GCCTTTGCTTACTCTGCTCCCTTTACATGGAATTTGCTGCAAAATAACGTGAAACTTAGTAAATTGGTTCCTTTGAAAACTTTTAAGCTGAGAATGAGATGTTTTGAGTTGGACTCCCTCACATGTCAATGTTTTAATTGAATTTTTATTGTAATTGCATATTTGGCTTTTATGTGTGTGTTGTTCTAAGTATGTAATGATGTGATGTAATTTTGATGCCTATCTTGGCCAGGTCTCCCTTGCAAAAGAGATTTTTAATCTCAATGGGTATTACCTGGTTAAATAAAGGATAAAAAAAAAGATATAAGAAGACAGAAACAAGAAAAAACACGCTATACAGCCTATAAATATGGGCAATAAATATAACTTCACTGCAAAAACGATCTAAAAAGGAGTAAAAAAGTCTTAAATGAAGTACATTAGCCCTTAATTTGAGCAGGAAAATAAGATGATCTGCCAATGGAATTTGTATTTTTACTCCTAAATTAAGATAATTAGATAATAGGCACTTGAAATAAGACAATATATTAGTTTTTTCTTATTTAAAATGTAAATTGTCTTGTTCCATTGGCAAAGTGTTACACTTACCTCATTAATTCAAGAAAAAATGCGCTTATTTTAAGAAAAAATGACTCATGGAGATTTAAATTTTTTTGCAGTGTTTAGAATCCAGCTGTTGCTCTAAGGTTGCATTTTTCAGGGTCAGATATAATTTAATCAACTTTGGTGTTCGTACTTGATTGTTAAGACTATATATAGATGTTGGTTGTAGATGATAAAATGAGGATATTTGGCTTAATACAAAAATGAAGGATTTATTCATCAGAAAATATTTTATTCATAAAAGTAATGCTAAAGGAGAAGTTTGTCATAAGAGAAAGGCTGAAACTCTCATGAACTCCAAACAGGAAAGAAAGGATGGAGAAGAAGAGATGTTCCTGCAGTGAAAAGCAACTTTTAAACAATTTCAGGTAAATAGAGTTTAGTAGCTTCTGTTTGAAGGCTTGAAAAGGTTAAAAGTAGCTTAAATTATTACAAGTAAAGCTTAACATAGTCCTGCAACTAGGAGTATTTTCAACATATTATTTAATTGATTTTACAAGCAGTTAATTAACTAGATGGTTAATAATTAAATAGGTCAAGTTTAGTACTACAAAAAACCTGTAAATTAGCCAATACATTTTCTGATATGGAAATAGCATCATTTATATAATTATTTCATTCAAGATTCTTATTTCATTTGTTATTTTTTGAATCATTGTCACACGTTAAAGATAATGTTTTAGTTTCAATACAGCACATTTAATAACTTCTGATTCTTCTGTGGCGATTTTATTTTCTCTAAATTAATTCTATAATAATACTGAGGATGCTTTAAGTTTAGGTGCAGTTCGCCCGGGATGCCGAGTGGCCTCAGGAAAATAACGATTGTTAATATGCATCCAGTGCTTTCAATAGTTTCCAACCAAATGATTAGCAGGATGTTTTTCGGAATAAAACTATTTACCTGATACTATGATGAAAAACACTTCACTATGTAAAGTTATTATTTTCTTTTGAGGAATAGTAAATTAAAACGTCTGCTTTAGAACGGCTCCGTGTGACGCAGGAGGCCCGCATCAGGCATCAGCTGATGTCCTGATCACGCATGCATCCGGCTGTGGGCGTTCAGCCGCAACCAGAACAATTAAATTCCTCCCTAATTGGACCTGAAACCATCTGAAAAGCTGAAGTTCAGGACGTCACTGCAGGCAAATGAAAACTGAAAACCCAAATGTTCATTCTGAACGTCACCAAGAGGAGATCAAAGGACAATCCAGAACTGAAACCCAAATCAGAATCAAGTTTATTGCCAAGTAGGTTTGCACTTACAGGTTGTTGATGGTGCAAACAAATTAGATATATATAAAAAATACAAAATCTATAGTTATATATTGATTGATTGATTTTATTACAGCCTCAAAGTCCAATATACATTAAAAGAAACAGATTCACTAAGAATAAAAAAAAAGAACAGATGAATATTTAACTGCACTATATTTTACATTGGTCATCAGTAAAATAATTCTATTAATAAA